TATAACGCAATGCAGTGCATACCGGGCATTCATTCAAATTCTCGTATTCACCGCGGTAGAGGATGCAGTCGTTGATGCATGCATGTATCTTCAGAACCTCTAAACCTAGAGGGCAGACAACCTTCTTTGCTTCGTACGTACTGGCGGGCAACTCGTTATCCTTTGGAAACATATTCTTCAACATTTTCAGCAAGTTTTCAAATGCCGAGTCAGCTACACCTGCCTCTGCCTTCCATTTCAGCAAATCCAGTGTGCAGCCCAGCTTTTTCAGACCATCATCGCATCCGGGGTACAGCGCCTTTCTGTGATCCTCTAACATGCGATCCAAATTCTCCCTCTCCTTTTCAGTTTCGCAGCGTCTCCGTGCATCAGCAATGGTCCGACCAAGATCATCAACGGGATCATCACGTGCCTCTTCTTCACCTTCCCCTTCACCTTCAGCATCCTCCATGAAAGTATCACCGAAATGAGCAAGATAGCTTTCATCGATGAAATCATCCCCTTCTTCATCTTCTTCCATTATAACTCCTCTTTCTCCATGCTTGGTCCAACAATTATAGCTTGGCATGAAACCGTGCCGAAGCAGATGCATGTGAACATCTCTTGAGGAAGAGTAACCCTTCTGATTCTTACAGATAACACATGGACAGATAACAAAACCCCCCTGCTTGTTCGCATTAGCCACTACGAGGAAATCTTTCAAACCCGTAGTGAACTCGCCGGAGAGTCGGTTACCGTACATCCATTGCCGATTCATCTACATTATTATAATATAAAATATATAATTAACCATCATGCATTTGTTAAACTAACTAGCTACAAACAATATAAATTAAACAATGAACTGCACACATGCATATTTTATCAATGACACACATGCATGAAAGGTTCAAGTTGCTAACCGCGATCGAGGAGGAAAAAATAAATGAGGAACCTCAAGTGTGGCTCCAACACTTCATATCATGTTTGTTTCACCCTCTTAGGGCATTTCATCAAACACCTTGTGTGCATAAGAGGAACCAAAAGCAAACCTACACCCCCTTGTGAAGCTTGTGAAGAGAAGTGGCACCAAATGGCTAAGTGAGCGTGCTGAACTGGTATATATAGGGGAGGAGCTTTAGTCGCGGTTGGCCTGGCCAACCGCGACTAAAGGCCTTTGCGCACCTTTAGTCGCGGTTGGCCTGGCCAACCGCGACTAAAGCCCCTCACGTGCACCAGCTGGCCACCGAGCGCCCTGGGCCCAGGCCTTTGGTCGCGGTTCGTCTGCCGAACCGCGACTAAAGACTTCATTAGTCGCGGTTCCTACAGTTTCGCGACTAATGGGGCTGGACGGAAGCCTCTTTTTCTACCAGTGTCAAGTAAAACACACGTAAATATGCTTCCAGCAACATTGACTTTCTATTGAAGTTTTAGAGAATATCCAGATTTCAGCGCATTGTTTTCGGTTTTGGGACAGCGCAGGTGTGAGTGCGTGTGTGACGGTCGGGGAGGTTAGTGAAGAATGGAGAAGTAGCGAGGAAAAGGGTAGGTTTATGATGTAGAAGTACTGGCATGTCGACGGTCTTCAACATTAGCCAGGTCACTCATCATGCAGCACATAGATCCACGGACTTTGTAATTAATTTCAGCAGAAAGGACAAAAGTCACTTGCACATGTTGATCGATCCTGCAATGCCGCTAGTGATTTATTCACCATGTTATAAAGTAACAATGGTCAATATATAGACCGACCCGGAGTATGTCTCACTGTTCATATTGCCAGCTATTTTCAGCAGAGTGCCTCTTTGCGGGAATCTTGATTCGAGCTAAACCTTGGTCAAACCAAACTTATGTATGTGCAACTACTACCACACGTGTCCATTGAGCAAGGAAACAAGCTAGACCCAAAGTGGCAACTAAACAGCGTTAGTTTGTGTATATTACTAAACTGACACTAGAAAACGGTCGATCGGACCTTGGCAAATCAAAGTAGTTGCCAGACTATAGAGAAAGAACAATAACCAGCTCGTCGTGCTTCGTCCTAGACCCATACTACCAAAACAAGACAAGCATCTGATAGCCAGCAAACGAGGGGCACGTGGCCCCCGTGTCACCAAATCCTGCCCCTAAAATGTTTCACTGCAATGACAGAGGATGACTAAAGAGTCTTCCCTATCCTTCCAAAATTTAAAGCACTGTCAACATATCATGTTAACATGTCATGCCTCCTACTCCTAGCGTGATGTGGCCAAGAAAAATATAACATCTATACGGTCTTCAATGTTAGAGCATCTACACTCGTTGGCGCCCCCAGGAGGTCTTTTTTTCGCCGCTTGGGATCGCGCCGGCGGAATTTCTGACTGTGGGAGGCAAAATTTCCCAGCCGTCCCCCCACCCAAGACGCATTCCGAGGACGTGTGGCGGCATCGCAGCTCGACACCGTCTCCAGCACCATCGAGGACGCCCGCCACCGTCCGCCGCACGCTCCTTGGCACGGGCCTCGCCGCCGCATACCACCATCCCTCCATCAAGCTCCCTCCTCCACGCGAGCGCGAGCTCTGCCACGGCCGCACGAGCGCGAGCCCCGCCACGGCATGTGCAGCAGCCACACCGCCCGCGAGGTCGAGGAGCGAGGAGAGGAGGAAGGAGGAGGAAGGGGGGCGCCTGGCCGCGCCCGCGCCCGCCCGCGCCCGCGCCCGCGCCTGGCCGCGCGCACCCTCCGTGGCCGGCGTCGACGAGGACGAAGAGGAGGGAGGAGGAGGAAGGGGGCGCCCGGCACGCCACACCCCACGCCGAGGACGAGTCCGGGAGCATGCTGCTCGACCTCGCGGAGCTCCTCCTCGCCAACGGAGCCAAGCACGCTGGCTCCGACGCGCTCCACGTGGCCGCCCGCCGCATCTGCTTCTCCCCGCTCATCCTCCTCCTCCGCTTCCTGGGGCTCGGCAGGCGATTCTGGCGGCCGGAGCGGCGAGGAGGCGGGCGGCGGGGCGGCGCGAGGCAGTGCGGCGAGGAGGCGGGCGGCGAGCAGGGAGAGAAGCGAGGAAAAGTGGGCGGGATTCCTTTTGCATGTGGGCGAGCGGGGAGAGAGAGAGGGAAGAGAGGCTGACATGTGGGGTTTCGGCATGCAAAAGGGAGTGCCGGCGGTCTCAAGTGCCCCCCGGTAGGCTGGGTGTGGGTTGCGGTCGCCGGGGCTGTTTTTGCTTCAATCCGGCGAAAAATTAGGACTTGGGGGCGTGACTGGGAGCATTTTTTGCTGCCGGTGCTAAAAAAGTGGCTTGGGGGTGTTCCCGGGGGCGTGGGTGGAGATGCTCTTAGCCACATCATCCCACCAGGAGGTAAACAGACCCAGTGACGTTGTAATTTTTGATTAATTGTAGCAGAAACGACAAAAGTCACTTGAATATGTTGATCGATCATGCAACTCACCATGCTATGGAGTGACCATCGTCAACATGTACACCGGCCGTTAGTATGCCTCACTTTTTATGGTGCCAGTTATTTTCAGTACATTTATTTTTAAGGGAATCGGTAGAGTTAGAGACCTTGGTCAAACCAAAATTATGTATGTGCAACCACCACCACGTGTCCACTGAGCGAGGAAATAAGCTAGACCCAAAGTAGTAATTAGACAGTGTTAGTTTTGGTACATTACTAAACTTACACTAGAGATATATCCATATCTAAACTAGAAGAAACCGATGTTACATACTGGTATTACCATCATTCTGGATGTAAAAAAGTAAAAATCATAACATACAGTTGCAGCTTAACTAGAGTTGTTGAAAAATATATCTCGATAACTTATACTATATAGAATGATATTCTACGCCCATCGGACATGATCATAGGCGGCCAACGGACCGGAATGGGATCACCCTGGCCCAACACACGCCTAAACTGGCCTGACATGACACAGGTCCCAAAGTGATGTTTCATAAGCAAGCCTTTACCGCGTGTGCACATGGACCTCACCTTGCGGCCTGGGCACGACATCGGTGCTAGAATGTGGTATTGCAGAACTGATAGTTAACATACAAATGTCATGGTAATTTTTTACCCAGGCAAAAAAGTAGTTGAAACATACCCCTAATAAGTTCAGTGTAAACACCATGATAAGTTATGTATTGCAAGCGTGATAACTTACGTAGAGGGTGCTTGGATACAAGGGACTATTTTTAGTCTGACTAAAAATAGTCTCTTTTAGAGGCTAAAGTTCCAAGCACCCCTGACTAAAGAGAGGCTAGAACTAGTCTTGAGGCTAAAATCTTTTAGTCATGGGAAACCTACTAAAATATGTATTAGCTCTCTCTCTCCTTATTTAATTCCTCTCCTTAGTTCTGGATTGGAGGGTTTGGAGGATAATAAATGCTCAATAACTAGATTTTAGTCTCTTTAGTACTTGGATCCAAGCATGGGTGAGACTAGCAAGTTTTAGTCCCACTACTTTTAGTCATGGGACTAAAACGTATCCAAGCATGCTCGTAGTCCAACGTGGTAACTTTTGATTTAAAAAAAGTCATCGAAACATACCAACATGATCTATTTTCAAAGCTCTCGTCACGATGATTTTTTACGTGAAAACGGTTTTTCAATCGGAGCAAAAGTTTGAGCCACAAAAAATTCTAAAGTTTCAAAATAGAAAAATCTTTTGCTGATATTATCTGTTTTGTCTTTTAGTTTGCATGCACGTATGGAATCATAAGTCAAGGCTAGTTGCATGCTTCCTCTTCGGCAACCACACACCGATTAGCTCTTAAGCCTTGCATGCATGTGTGATTAGAGAAAGAAGTAGGCGTTCGCATATGTTGCCTATCTTTCGATCAGTGTCGGAAGTTAGCACGGTCCTAAGATGTTTCTGATTGGGTTTTGTTTATGCACGCACCATTATAGAAATTAAACATTCCCATCCATGCAAAGGTTCTGAGGAATACGTAAATTCATTTATACATAGACTCTTTCAAGCAACCATCAAGAAGAGATCACATCATCTGCACCCATCGTACATGCCAAACAATAATCATCTACTTGAAGAAGTATGGGAGGTCGAGCACGTAGAGGAGGAAGTAGGCCCAGATGGCGCCCGAGACACCGCCGAAGAAGAAGCCTCCGGTGAACTGCGACCAGCCTTCCGCAGTCTGCAGCTTGTCGGCCTCCTTCTTGCGGCCGGTGAGCGTGAGCGCGGGCGCGGTGGAGGGCGCGCCCTCGTTGAAGGAGGCGACGCCGTACATGGTGAGGCAGACGCTGAGGATGGAGACGAGGCCGATGGCGCCGAGGGTTCCCGCCTGGCCGTGAATTGGCGTGTTGCGGAGCGGGCCGGTGAGCGCGAAGGGGCCGACGAGGAGATAGCCGTGGGCGAGGCCGACCTCGATGCCGCGGAGGAGCGGGCTGACGGCGGTGCGGTACGCGGGGAGGTTGGAGAGGTACCACGCGACGAGGGGGCTGGAGGTGACGGGCGTCTCCAGGCTGCCGATGAACGGGTCGCCGTTGATGGGCTGGACCACCTGGTACGTCCCCTGTTTGTAGGAGAGAGAGGAGACACAAGAATATGTATGAGATACAAGTGTGGTGAATCGCTTAATTTTAGCTCTCTCTTCCATGCAATTGCAACTGACCTTGTCAGACTTGACGGCCTTGACGACGAAGCGGGGCCTCCTGGTGAGTGAGGCGCCGGACAGCCCCCGCGGCTTGGAGCTCACCAAGCCGCTCTTCATCACCTGGCTCGCCATCGGAGGAGCATATGCAGTTGCCATCTCGATCTCCTTCGACTCCCACACGCTCAACTCTGCTCTGCCTGCAGCTAGAAATGGATGGATGTGTTACAGGAAGAAGAATTGTCCGGACGGCAATATGTTTTAGTGGCTCCAAGTGAGAGGAGAGAATCTGGCTCTTGTTGGGCGGGCCCCTGCACACGAGATATGGTCCGCAGCTGTGTGGCTTCCATTGGCTGTAATCCTATCTCTTATCCGAATTTTCAGATTCTGTCTGCGTGTCACTGTGTGTGTGGTCTCTAACTCTCTATTTGTCTATGGCTGTAGATTTTTCCTCTATTTAGATTTTGTAGTGCAGAGTGCAGACTGATACAATACATATAAAATGAAATATGTAAAACACAGAGACATGTGCTGCCTTTTTACAAGCAAATTATGGAGCCATCAAATAAAAGTATACGGACTATATACCTAGATTTCGATATGGACTATATACGGAGCAAAGTGAGTGAACTTATACTCTAAAATATGTCTACATACTTTCGTATGTAGTCCGTATTAAAATCTCTAAAAAGACTTATATATTAAATGGAGGAAGTATTATACACTACTGTGGAGTTCAAATGGATTGCACATATACAAAGACACCAGAATTTTCATCCCGAGATGACATCTTCACGCTTATATTAGCTCTGCACATCTATAGGCAGCTGGTGAGCCAAAAATCTGTAGGTATGGTAAAATGAAAAAAATGCTAATAATATAGCTTCTTCCTTTAGAGGCTTAATTAGGCGAAAATGAGGAAGATATGTAAATGAAAATTTTATTTTCACCGATCAATACACTAGCCTCCGCGCGTTCCTCAATGACGGTTTCCGGCCGCTGCGGTGGACATGACTACAGCACTGGGGTCAAAGGCAAAGGTGTCCTTCGCTGGTGCATCCCTCTATTGGAAGGCCCACACTCATACTAACAGGGTAAACATGTTGAAGAGCATAGATTTCAGGACACTCCCTTATCTAGCCACTCTTTTTTGCATCACGATTCGTTCAATTATTTTTGTCTTTTTTGTTTCTCCCATATAAAACAACATATGAACTTTAAACTTGACGGTTCAACAAAACATTCTTACTAGAATGTGGAAAAAACTTTTGGAATTTTTCATGCATCAAAATACGAAAAAGTATATTTTTTTATTAAAAAAATCTTATTTCGTATATTTATGTTGGACGAAAAAATCTGGAAGTCTTTTCCCACGTTCTAGTTAGAATGTTTTGGTATCTTGCAAAGTTTGAAGGAAACTTTTCATGTAATAAGGATAAGGGGTGTCCAGAAGCCCGAGCTTTAAAAATCCATGTCCATACTAACAGGTGGTCCGCGCATGGACGTAGGCGCTCGGTGCGGATGGCTGTGGTGGCAGGAGCTCTGCAATGTGGACTGGATTCATCCTGCCAACGCTATGGCACGTGGATTCAAAAGATCGGCTAGTGCAAGATGTTGCAGCGGTAGCGGCCATGTGCGCAGCAGATCTGGTGCCCGACGGCGGTGGGATGGATATTTTGAGGGCTGAGTCTTCGCAGAGGCAGCGGCCTTCGCTGGTCAGGCTAGGGTGGAGTCCCTTCTCAGCCAGAAGCAATTCCCACGGGCTCTCCAGATCCAAGCGACCAAGCCAGGCAGGACGCAGTTGCAGAGGCTGGGCGGGGTCGCCGGCGTAGACACAAGGTGCAGAGGCTTTCCCAGTTGCTGGTGGCGCAGCGGCATTGCCGGTAAAGGAAACGAACAAGAAGATGGGTAGGAAGGGGGAGGACCTGGCAAAGGTAAATGTGAGGGGCATATTTTTCGGTATTTTAGTGGCATTTTCAGAGAATAGGTTAGCAATCTATAATGTACTTATTTTAGTTGTATTTTCATGTGATGAATGTTTTGAAAATCTATTTTAAGGTACTTGATAGTGGTAGTAGCTAGCTTCAACCCAAATATCGTGGCGGTGTTACGGCACATGCCACTCATCAATATGAATTGAATTTCATGTGTGCACTATTACTATGCGTATATTGGTTTGCGATGTTAAAATTTATGCTTTATAAATCACCCTACCGCTTGTTACATTCCGCCAGGATCACATCCAGTCTTTTTTTTGAGGATACATATTACAGAGGATCACATCCAGTCTGATACATATTACAGAGGAACGCCAAACAATTAAAAATGACTAAAGACCTTCATCCTTACATTGGTCTTGATATCCCACTTGCGTCTTGGCCAGTTGTTTCGAACCATTAATTATTCTAGGACCCACATGTTCTTAATGTTGGAAATATGCCCTAGAGGCAATAATAAATTAGTTATTATAATATTTCCTTGTTCATGATAATCGTTTATTATCCATGCTAAAATTGTATTGATAGGAAACTCAAATACATGTGTGGATACATAGACAACACCATGTCCCTAGTAAGCCTCTAGTTGACTAGCTCGTTGATCAATAGATGGTTACGGTTTCCTAACCATGGACATCATTAGGAGAATGATGTGATGGACAAGACCCAATCCTAAGCCTAGCACAAGATCATGTAGTTCGTATGCTAAAACTTTTCTAATGTCAAGTATCATTTCCTTAGACCATGAGATTGTGCAACTCCCGGATACCGTAGGAGTGCTTTGGGTGTACCAAACGTCACAACGTAACTGGGTGACTATAAAGGTGCACTACGGGTATCTCCGAAAGTGTCTGTTGGGTTGGCACGAATCGAGACTGGGATTTGTCACTCCGTGTGACAGAGAGGTATCTCTGGGCCCACTCGGTAGGACATCATCATAATGTGCACAATGTGATCAAGGAGTTGATCACGGGATGATGTGTTACGGAACGAGTAAAGAGACTTGCCAGTAACGAGATTGAACAAGGTATCGGGATACCTACGATCGAATCTCGGGCAATTATCGTACCGCTAGACAAAGGGAATTGTATACGGGATTGATTAAGTCCATGACATCATGGTTCATCCGATGAGATCGTCGTGGAACATGTGGGAGCCATCATGGGTATCCAGATCCCGCTGTTGGTTATTGACCGGAGAGTCATCTCGGTCATGTCTGCATGTCTCCCGAACCCGTAGGGTCTACACACTTAAGGTTCGGTGACGCTAGGGTTATAGAGATATTAGTATGCGGTAACCCGAAAGTTGTTCGGAGTCCCGGATGAGATCCCGAACGTCACGAGGAGTTCCGGAATGGTTCGGAGGTAAAGAATTATATATAGGAAGTGCTATTTCGGCCATCGGGACAAGTTTCGGGGTCACCGGTATTGTACCGGGACCACCGGAAGGGTTCCGGGGGTCCACCGGGTGGGGCCACCTGCCCCGGGGGCCACATGGGCTGTAGGGGGTGCGCCTTGGCCTACATGGGCCAAGGGCACCAGCCCCTAGAGGCCCATGCGCCAAAGGGACAAGAGGAGGGGAGAGTCCTAAAGGGGGAAGGCACCTCTGAGGTGCCTTGGGGAGGATGGACTCCTCCCCCCCTTGGCCGCACCCTTCGTTGGAGGAAGGGGCAAGGATGCGCCCTCCCCCTCTCCCTTGGCCCTATATATAGTGGGGGGAAGGGAGGGCAACAAAGGCTAAGCCCTGGCGCCTCCCTCTCCCTCCCATGACACATCTCCCTCCTCCCGCAGCGCTTGGCGAAGCCCTGTTGGAATCCCGCTACTTCCACCACCACGCCGTCATGCTGCTGGATCTCCATCAACCTCTCCTCTCCCCTTGCTGGATCAAGAAGGAGGAGACGTCGTTGCTCCGTACGTGTGTTGAACACGGAGGTGCCGTCCGTTCGGCGCTAGGATCATCGGTGATTTGAATCACGACGAGTACGACTCCATCAACCCCGTTCTCTTGAACGCTTCCGTGCGCGATCTACAAGGGTATGTAGATCCACTCATCCCTCGTTGCTAGATGACTCCATAGATTGATCTTGGTGACACGTAGGAAAATTTTGAATTATTGCTACGTTCCCCAACAGTGGCATCATGAGTTAGGTCTATTGCGTAGTTACTATGCACGAGTAGAACACAAAGTAGTTGTGGGCGTCGATCTTGTTCAATATGCTTACCGTTACTAGTCCAATCTTGATTCGGCGGCATTGTGGGATGAAGCGGCCCGGACCAACCTTACACGTACGCTTACGTGAGACCGGTTCCACTGACAAACATGCACTAGTTGCATAAGGTGGCTGGCGGGTGTCTGTCTCTCCCACTTTAGTCGGATCAGATTCGATGAAAAGGGTCCTTATGAAGGGTAAATAGCAATTGGCATATCACGTTGTGGTCTTTGCGTAGGTAAGAAACGTTCTTGCTAGAAACCCATAGCAGCCACGTAAAACATGCAAACAACAATTAGAGGACGTCTAACTTGTTTTTGCAGGGTATGCTATGTGATGTGATATGGCCAAAGGATGTGATGAATGATATATGTGATGTATGAGATGATCATGTTCTTGCAATAGGAATCACGACTTGCATGTCGATGAATATGACAACCGGCAGGAGCCATAAGAGTTGTCTTAATTTATTTATGACCTGCGTGTCAACATAAACGTCATGTAATTACTTTACTTTATTGCTAACCGTTAGCTGTAGTAGTAGAAGTAATAGTTGGCGAGACAACTTCATGGAGACACAGTGATGGAGATCATGATGATGGAGATCATGGTGTCATGCCGGTGACGATGATGATCATGGAGCCCCGAAGATGGAGATCAAAAGGAGCAATATGATATTGGCCATATCATGTCACTATTTGATTGCATGTGATGTTTATCATGTTTATACATCTTATTTGCTTAGAACGACGGTAGTAAATAAGATGATCCCTCGTTAAAATTTCAAGAAAGTGTTCCCCCTAACTGTGCACCGTTGCGACAGTTCGTGTTTCGAAGCACCACGTGATGATCGGGTGTTAGATTCTTACGTTCACATACAACAGGTGTAAGCCAGATTTACACACGCGAAATACTTAGGTTGACTTGACGAGCCTAGCATGTACAGACATGGCCTCGGAACACAGAAGACCGAAAGGTCGAACATGAGTCGTATAGAAGATACGATCAACATGAAGATGTTCACCGATGTTGACTAGTCCGTGTCACGTGATGATCGGACACGGCCTAGTTGACTCGGATCATGTAATCACTTAGATGACTAGAGGGATGTCTATCTGAGTGGGAGTTCATAAGATGAACTTGTTTATCCTGAACATAGTCAAAAGGATTTTGCAAATTATGTCGTAGCTCGCGCTTTAGTTCTACTGTTTAGATATGTTCCTAGAGAAAATTTAGTTGAAAGTTGATAGTAGAATTATGCGGACTAGGTCCGTAAACTGAGGATTGTCCTCATTGCTTCATAGAAGGCTTATGTCCTTAATGCACCGCTCAGTATGCTGAACCTCGAACGTCATCTGTGGATGTTGCGAACATCTGACATACACATTTTGATAACTACGTGATAGTTCAGTTAAACGGTTTAGAGTTGAGGCACCGAAGACGGTTTTGAAACGTCGCAAAACATATGAGATGTTTTGAGGGCTGAAATTGGGATTTCAGGCTCGTGCCCACGTCAAGAGGTATAAAACCTCCGATGATCTTCTTAGCCTGCAAACTAAGGGAGGAAAGCTCAATTGTTGAGCTTGTGCTCAGACTGTCTGAATACAACAATCATTTGAATCAAGTGGGAGTTGATCTTCCAGATGAGATAGTGATATTTCTCCGAAGTCATTACCACTAAGCTGCTAGAGCTTCGTGATGAACTATAACATATCAGGGATAGATATGATGATCCTTGAAATATTCGCGATGTTTGACACCACAAAAGTAGAGATCAAGAAGGAGCATCAATTGTTGATGGTTGGTGAAACCACTAGTTTCAAGAAGGGCAAGGGCAAAAAGGGATGCTTCATGAAACGGCAAATCAGCTGCTGCTCTAGTGAAGAAACCCAAGATTGAACCCAAACCCGAGACTAAGTGCTTCTGTAATAAAGGGAACACCCACTGGAGCAGAATTACCCTAGATACTTGGTAGATAAGAAGGCTGGCAAGGTCGATAGAAGTATATTGGATGTATTATGTTAATGTGTACTTTACTAGTACTCCTAGTAGCACCAGGGTATTAGATACCGGTTCGATTGCTAAGTGTTAGTAACTCGAAATAAAAGCTACGGAATAAACGGAGACTAGCTAAAGGTGAGATGACGATATGTGTTGGAAGTGTTTCCAATATTGATATGATCAAGCATCGCACGCTCCCTCTACCATCGAGATTGATGTTTGCGTTGAGCATAGACATGATTGGATTATGTCTATCGCAATACGGTTATTCATTTAAGGAGAATAATGGTTACTCTGTTTATTTGAATAATACCTTCAATGGTCTTACACCTAAAATGAATGGTTTATTGAATCTCGATCGTAGTGATACACATGTTCATGCCAAAAGATATAAGATAGTAATGATAGTACCACCTACTTGTGGCACTGCCACTTAAGTCATATCGATATAAAACGCATGAAGAGGCTCCATGTTGATGGATCTTTGGACTCACTCGTTTTTGAAAAGTTTGAGGCATGCGAATCAGGTCTATTGGTGTATATGCATGAAGAAACTCCATGCAAATGGACCGTTTGGACTCACTTGATTTTGATCACTTGAGACATGCAAATCATACCACATGGGCAAGATGACTGAAAGCCTCGTTTTTCAGTAAAATGGAACTAGAAAGCAACTTGTTGGAAGTAATACATTTTGATGTGTGCAGTCCAATGAGTGCTGAGGCGTGTAGTGGATATCGTTAT